AAAAAAAGAAAAAAAAGCAAAACAAAAGGATATTTTATTTTATGATAAAGTGATCCTTAAAAGTTTAGAAGGTTTAGAATATATGTAGGTTAAAAAAAAAATACATTTGTATCCAGAGTATTGCTTACAAAGTGTTTTTAATATATGTTTCCTCTTTTTTGTGTGTGCGTGTGTGTCTGTACAAGGTGGTAGTCATGGTGCAGATCAGCCCTTTCCAGAAACGAGACTTTTTAAGCAGAAGGTAACAAATTGAAAGGAGAAAACAAGCAAAAAATGGTGATTAAACCCCACCAGAAATAGGTGAAAAAAAGGAAGAATCGGAATCGCGGAGCCCCAGCCTTGGGCTTGCTCCGCCTTTTGCGGAGGGCTCAAGGGGCTTTGTGGGCTCGGATGAAGCTTTGGGGGGCTCAGGGGCAGCGTGGCCCCAGTGAGCCCCAGTTTGCTCCCAGTGAGCCCCATCCAGCCCCGGCCTCGCTGAGAGCATCACTCACAGCCCAGGGTCCGGCTTCGACCCGGTGCTGCGTGCGGATGGGTTGCTCCCGCTGGGTTTCCTTAGGGAAAGGTCACTCCTTGGGCACTGGGAAGCAAAGCTTGCGTCCTTCCAGCCAGCACCATGGGCCCCATCCTGCCCCGGGGAGCCAGGGACCAGTGTTGCCCTTGGTTCAGTTCGCAGGAGGAGGCCAGAGGATTCCGGGTCCTTCCCAGGATGGGAGCGCGCTGGCAGGGATGCTCTGCACATCCATTGCCTCCCTTCAGGCGTTGCTTCCATGTGCGTCTCCCAGGACAGGAGGGCTTTATCCCCCCCATCCATCCTCCTCCTTATGGAGCTAAGGGCTTGTGCAGGACCCAACTGCTCCCGGCCAGCTCCAAGCCATCCTGGAGAGGGGAATGTCACCCTTTCTGCTCCCCCCAAGGCGGAGAGGGCACCCAATGGCCAAGACAAGCGATGGAAAAGCCATCGTGGGGCCAGCATCCCCATGGGAGGCTTTGTGCTTGCAGGGGCAGCTCTTCAGCCTCATCCCTGTGGGGTCACTCCTTGTGACCCGAGTTGGGATGGGTTGAAGAGCTCCGGAGCATAGAGGGTCCCACACACTTCCATACGAAGCCAGCCCGTGTCCCGCTCCCTTCCGAGCAGGAAGCTTTGGGGGATGCTTCTGCTCTGTTGCCTTTCAGAGAAGCGTTTTGAAAAGCAGATTTTTGGGTTTGTTTTGGTTTTTTTTTTTTTGGTGGTGTCGTTTTTTTTTAACCAAAAAGGAGATTAAAAAAAAAAGGAAAAAAAAAAGAAAAAATGTTGATGGGTATTAAAAAATAATAATAATAATAATAATAATAATAAACGTTCAAATTTATTTCCTATAATCCTAGAGTAAAGATGAAAAGATTAACTAGCTCAAATAGTAGATGCTATCCATATTGTTTAATCTATAGTAGAGCCAAGTGATCCCAGACAGAGCAGAATGTAAACGAAACTCCGAAGCAAGATCAAGGAATCATTTGTAACTTCCCAGCAAATTCCCATCTTTTCTTGCAAAGAAAAAAAAAAACCCAACCAAAAAAGGGATGGAATAATGGGTGGGGTTTTTTAAGCAAAAAAAAAAGACATTTGGGGGGTTTTGGGTTGCTTTTTTTTGTCACTAAAACGAGGGAGATGTGGCTTGTCACCGAGTAAATCACGGCTCAGGCTCTTGGGGTTTTGCCTTATCCCAACCTCCGGGTTGGGAGCAGGGAATTGCCGAGGGGAAAAGGAGAAAGGGGCCGATTCCTGCTCCTTTTCCTGCTGTTTGAAGGTCTCCTGGCGTGGGGCGGGTGGGAAGGAGCAGGGGAGGAAGCCCCCTGTGTGATGTGATGGGCAGCGCTGGACCAGGGGAGCAGGGGGCACCCGCTTGGCTCCTTCCCTCTCTCGCCTCTTTCCTTTTCCCTTTGGGATTCTCTTTGAGCCGGAGGAAGCCTCGAGCCTCAAACCCTCCTCTTTGTGGGGTCCAGGGCGTCCCTGCGCACCAGCGGAGAGGGGCAGGATGTGCCCCACAGCCCCAGCTGGTTAAACCCTGGTCCTTGTGGGTCACCACTTTGCTCCCAAGCATCAGGGCTGCACCAACCCCCCCCCTCCCCACTCTGTTTCCATGTTCCAAAGGACCCAGCATCAAGACCGTTGTCATTAGAGAAGCAGAAGAAAACCACTCTTGAAAGGGGCTTACCTCCGGGGCCGGCTTTTGCTCCTCTCCTCCGTGCCGTGGCTCACCCATTGGTGATGCCCCTGAGCCGGGAGCATCCCTAAGGATCCTATAAAAGCCTTGGAGACACGCTCGTCTTACCACGTAACCAGCATTCCTTCAGCAAAGCCATGCAATAGGTTAGGACAGGAAGCGAAGACAGTTCTCATTCTGCACATAGCACTGTGAATCCGAGCGGGTTGGGAGCGCCGGGCACAGCACAGAAGGGGGTTGTGCTTGGTGGTACCAAGCTCCTGGTCGCGCAGGGTGACCGAGGGGCCCTCGTTTGCTCTTTCCTTTTCGTTTTACCTCATGTGTTTTGGTTTGATACTTGAAGAAGAGGCAGTGATTGACATTGGGCCGTGGGTGATGCCCTGGGCTGGAGAGCGGATGCACTTTATACTTGTACACCGAGCGCGGGGTCCCATCCTGCCTCTGCAAGGTTCCCTCGGTGTCGGCGCCGGCAGGGGCAGAGCCAGGACGGGCTGGTTCTTCCAAAGCCCTTTCTAGGGTGTTGGGGAGCAATCCCTGTGTTTTGCTGTGGGGCTTCACATCCTATAGAGGCTCCCGATCCCGTTCTGCTCTTTGCTGAGCTGGTGGAAAACTCGGCCATGATCCCGCTGGGTTCGCCCTCAGTTAGGGAACGCGGGGCAGCTCTTGCCTTTCCTCCTGTGTAACTCAATGGGGTTACTCAATTGGAATCTGAAGGGGCTTCAGCCCTGGCAGGCGGCGGCGTTCCCGCTGGATGCGCTCCAGCATCACTTCAGGGCTGCTAATGCAGCCAATGGGAAGTGTCCCCCCGCTCCCCAGGGAGGTGACACTGGTGGGAAAGCCGGAGTCAATGGAGCCTCCTTCCACCCGTGGCACTGCTGATGGCAGAAGGGGTTCGCTGGGCTTGAGACGATGCTTCCCAAGCGTTCCCGCAGCTCCTGGGCGCCGGGATGAAGGGATGCGCTCATGGGATGCTCTGCTCCTCTGCAGGGTGGGGTTTTCCCCTTTTCCTTTCGGTTTCTGCGCAAGAGAATGGGAAGGAAAAGGGGAAAACACCACAAATGAGGGGCCAGGTCCTGCTCTGCAGCTGAGGCTTTGCTGCGGGGTTCCAAGCAGCGTTAAGCAACCGCGAAGGGCACGCGGAGCCGTGCCGCGGAGCAGCTCTGATCCCAGCTCCGGGGGAATCGATCCCCTGGGATGCCCAGAGCAGCCCTCGGGGCACCCACTGGGACCTGCAGAGGATTCCCTCCGGCTCTGCCCTGGTACCAAAGAGCTCCCGGTGGGATTTGCCATGAGCTAAACCCCAACTGGATCCATGCATCCACCAGCGCCGAGCTCAGTGGTACCCCCTCCAAGCCCTTCATGGCTTATGGCTTGCCCCAGCATCCCTTCATCCTCGCTCCAAGCTGTACAAGTGTCTGCGTGTATCCGCTTTCCCGCTGGATCCGGGTGCTATATCCCATAGTCCTACTCCACGGTACTCCCAACCTCGTGCTGAGCCAGCCCTGTGTGGCCCTTCCAAGTCCATTCCCTCTCCCGTTGTGTTTGCTTTGATGGATTCTTCTTCCCCCCCCCCTCCCTTCCTCTTTTCTTTGAACATCAATAGGAAACCTGTAGTAGGGATTGTTACTATTGGAAACCGATCACATGTTCCATCCCGGTATTCCCATCTCTCCGGCGTGACGCAAAGGGAAAGGCCTGAGAGGGACATAACCGAAGCTAGAGTAGAGTTAGGCTCGTCGTCTGAGTTTTGAGGCATATATAGGGTAAGGGGAGAAGGAATGGTGAAAAAAGAAATAAGGTGAAAAGAGAAGAAAAACTTAAAATGATGATGTTGCACAACTTGTAGAAAACAAAGAAGGGAAAGGGTTAATGTATTAAATGTGCTAAATTACATTAAGAACTTAATTTTATTAAAGTATTATTACTTAAGAAACTCGGGCTCTGCGCTTGCTTTCCGGCTGCTCGGGGCAATCCTCGAACCATGGGATGGGGTGGGATGAAGGGAGCTTGATGCTCCTGCAGCTCCGTGGGCAGGGAGCCCTTTCGGCACGGAACACGGCAGGGATGGGGCAGCCACAGCTTCTGGGTACCAGTGCCAGGGCTGACATCAGCCCTTGGCACCGCGGCTCGGTGCGGGCCTGGGGTGGGTTTAATGCCAGTCACTCCCTTGGGGACAGCCACGAGACGTGGCCAAGGAGGGGTCTGGTCACCCCCCGGCTCATCCTGTGCTATGGGAGCAGGATCTGACCCCCAAGCCCTCCAGCAAGCCCCCTTCGTGCTGCCCCTTCTCGCCTCTCCCTCTTCCTGATGGGGATGCAGAGGTGGGATGCTGGAGGTGGGGATGCTGGCGGGACCATGCAGTGATGGAGCCTCCAGCAGCAACGCCACAGGGGGAGTTTCCCATTCCCAGATTCCCATTGCAGGGATGAATCCCAGCCAATTGAGTGCTGGGGTGGGGTGGGGGGCAGCCACAGAGAGACAGAGACCCCCGGACCCTGCGCTGGGATGGGGACACGCACCCAGCACTATGGGGAATAGGGAGTGAAGCTGGGGCCACGGCAGGCAGGGGCTGGGGCCATCGGCACCCATGGGTGCAGCACCCGCTCCATCTAGTGGCAGCCCGGTTGTCACCAGCCCCACCACTGATGGCACTTTGAGTGGGGCAGGATCGTGCCTCCGGGCAGGCAGAGCTGAGGGGTCCCATGTGCTGGCTCTGGCCATGCAGGGGGACCCCTGCCCACCCACAGCATCCCCTTGGCACCCCCCTTAGGGCTCCCCCAAAGGAGATGTCCCCAGCGGAAGGGATCCTAGAATCATGGAACCACCTCCGAGCTCATCTCCATCTCCCCTCCAGCAGGTTCAAGCCATTCCCCTTGTCCTGTCCTTACCTGCCCGCACCGGGGTGCCCCACGGCTGCCCCACCAGCACCCAGAGGCTCACCCAGCCCTTGACGCGGAAGGGGCAGGGCTGGGTGCAACCCAAAGAAGGGTGCACCCAATGTCCCCCTCCCCACCCTGCCCTGAAGGGCTGCACCCATGGATGCTTGCGCTTACTCAGTGCCACCCTGAGTCACCCCATGGCAGTGCCTTCAGGGCTAGAGGAAGCAGGGACACAAAGAGATGCCAGGTCCCAAACAACGAGGGAGAGAAGGGAGAGACCCTGGTGGGGTTTTCCCCCTGCTATTTGTGGAGGTCCTACATAAACACAGGGCGAGCGCGATGGTGCACACGAGGGCAGCGATGCAGAAGCAGCCGCTGCGTCCGGAGGGATCTGCAGCGAGCAGAGGTAGAGGGTGATAAAGGTGATGCCATCGCTTGGTGGGTGCTCTTGGGGGTGCTCAGATGTTCTGGCAGCAGGGTCCTTGCCTGCCCTCCTGCTGCGTGGGCAGCACCCGGATGGGCTCGATGCTGGTGCTGGGGCCGAACTCGGGCTCTGGTTGCCCCGGGATCTGCCGCTGGGACACGATGCGGTAAATCTCTGCCAGCAAAGGGGAGAAACAGGAGCTTGAAGGGAGGGTTTGAGTGGGGGACCCCCAAAACACACAGCTCCAAGGGGGCAAACGCCCTCATCTCCCCCCTGCCGTGGGGAGCAGGATCCCACTGCAGCAGGGTCCTGGGAGAACACGGTGTCCAAAGCCATCCCCCTTACCCGCGAGGATGGTATGGAACGCCGTCTCCACGTTGGTGGAGTCCAGAGCAGACGTCTCCAGGAAGGACAACCCATTCTTCTCTGCAAGGACGAAGGCGAGCTCATACCGGTGCCAAGATCCACAGCTCCGGGATGGAGACGGGGACAGGGCAGGATGGGGAGCGGGTACCTGCAAAGCTCTTGGCCTCATCGGTGGGCACGGCGCGGAGGTGCCGCAGGTCGCTCTTGTTGCCCACCAGCATGATGACGATGTTGGCATCGGCGTGGTCCTGCAGCTCCTTCAGCCACCGCTCGGCGTTCTCGTACGTCAGGTACTTGGCGATGTCGTAGACGAGCAGAGCCCCCACGGCCCCACGGTAATAGCTGGGGCACAGCGAGGGGACGGGTCACAGCAGGGCCCTGCGGTGGGGAACACCCCACGGGGAGGCGAGGGGGACTCACGCGGAGGTGATGGCGCGGTACCGCTCCTGCCCGGCCGTATCCCAGATCTGAGCCTTCACCGTCTTGTTCTCCACTTGGATGCTCCTGGTGGCAAACTCCACGCCGATGGTGCTCTTGCTCTCCAGGTTGAACTCGTTGCGGGTGAAGCGCGAGAGGAGGTTGCTCTTCCCCACCCCAGAGTCCCCAATGAGCACAACTTTGGGGGGGGGGGGACACAAGCACAGGGTCAGCCCCGCTGGACACCCACAGCCACCTGAGAACACCCCTCGAGAGCGTTCCTGGACCTTGCCAGGAGTTCCCTGCCCAGCTCCAGGGATGGGAAAGCTCCATGCACATAAAACAGGGAGGGGGGAAAGCAGAGGCAGGACCCATGAGGAGGCAGCCGGGCCAGAGAGGCCAAGCACAACCGGGTCTCCTCTTTGCAGCCCTGAAGGTGCACAAGAGACCTGGTCTGAAAAGAAGCATTTTCCTCCTCCTCCTCCTCTTTCTCCTCCTCCTCCCTGGCCGGTCCCTATGGAGCCCGGTGGGACAGGCTCCGGGACGCTTTATCTCGCAGCTCCCCCATCGAGTTTGTTGAGTTTATGACTCAAAGGGGTTGGATTTTGATGCTATTTAGTTATTTCTCAATGCCCTCGCTGACGATTCCGAGCATTCCCGGGTGCAGGGACACCCCCCGCGGGACCCAGCCTGGGGGCAGGATGCCGGGGGGGGGGTCTTACAGAGAAAGAAAGGACAAGGAGGACTCGAGCAGCATCCTCCACCCCGCGCACTAAAGCAGTCGGTGGGCTCGGGTCTTGCTGCCTCTGCGAGCATCACATCCCTGACACATCGCATCCCAGCCCGGAGGTGGGGATGGGAAGAGCCTGGAGCTCCAGGCAGGACCCCCACGGGAGGTTCCAATGAGCAGCCATGCCCTGGACTCACTTACTCTGAGCCCCCCCCAGCAGCACAAGGACCACAAACACCCCCCCCCCCCCAGCAGCCACAACCATGGCATCAACCATCCCAAACCACAGCAGCAACCTCCATGCCAACAACGCCATCACCCACCTTCCCTGTGCCCATCTCCCCAGCAATCCCCCCCTCCCTCCCGGTCCCCATCAACGGGATGCTCTGTGTTATATCCCAGTCTACTCCAGCTCCATCCCAAGGGCACCGCAGGGAGGCTGAGACCGGGCTCAGCTCATGGCAGGCATGGCCAGCGCAGGAGACCCACCTTTGAAGAGGAAATCGTACTCATCGTCCTTGCCCCGCATCCTGCCCAGCGCCGCAGCCCCGATCCCACTGGGGGCAGGCTGGGATTTCCGGGCCTGATCCAGCCCTGGCCGGGGCTGTTCCCTGCGCACTCGGAGGTAGCCACAGCCCTTCCTCCTCCCAAACCATTGGCTGCCGGGGCTGCCCATCACCGGGAAGGTGCCTTCACCTGGGCCAGGTAAAGGGGCAGGTATGGGGCTGCTCCACGGCCCTGTGAGACCTCCCCCCCCCCGGCCCTGCATCCTGCATCCAGCTCTGGAGCAACAGCACAAGAGGGACCACGGAGCTGCTGCGAGGGCTGGAGCATCCCTGCTCTGGAGCCAGGCTGGGAGAGCTGGGCTGGGGAAGAGAAGGGTCCTCAAGGGGAGACCTTAGAGCAGCTCCAGTGCCTGAAGGGGCTGCAGGAAAGCTGGAGAGGGGCTTGGGATGCAGGGACAGGGCAAGGGGAATGGCTTTAACCTGCCAGAGGGGGGATGGAGATGGGATCTTAGGCAGAAGTTCTTCCTTATGAGGGTTTGGGGACACTGGGATGGGTTGAATGGAGAAGGTTTGGATGCCCCATCCCTGGCAGTGCTCAAGGCCAGGTTGGACACAGGGGTTTGGAGCAAAGGGGCCCTGCCCATGGCAGGGGTTGGAACTGGATGAGCTTTAAGCTCCCTTCCAAACCCACCCATCCCATGGTTCTATGGCAGCAGGGAAAGAACACCAGTGTGGCTGTGTGCCACCACCAACAGCGACAGCCAGGGCCATGCTCTCCGTGCAGAGCCACAGACGTGAGATGGGAGCTGGGCTGCCTTGCCTTGCCCAATGCAAAGGGAAAGCAAGAGCCCAGAACTGGGGGAATCCAGCAGCAATTCTCCCATTTCCAAGCAGTTTCGGATACCTGCCTGAGGCCAAGATGTGGTTTGGTGCCATGGGTTAGTGGTGCCCTTGGCAGTGCTTGGATAAAGGTTGGACTCGAGCTTGCAGGTCATTTCCAACCTGGTTGATGCTCTAAGCCACCAAGGATGTGGGGATACGGAAAGGCTGCATGGGAAAGGGGACACAGGGGGACCATGGCATTGGGTGCCCATATCCTGAAGCGCATCCCAGAGGTGGGGACCACAGTCCCGCAGGAATTCCAGCTCAGCAAGCCTGCCTTTCACAAGTCCTTTAATGATGGTGTCACCATCACACTGGACACGGAGCTGCTCCCGGGCCCCAGCACCCAGCTCTGCACCGCACAGCCAGGAGGCACCTTCCCTGGGTCCTGCCATCACGCTTGCCCCACACACAGGATGGGGCCAGAGCTGTGCCAAGGGCTGAGCGCTGCCACTTGGCTCCGTAGGGCTTGGGATGGAGACGCGCTCGGACACCCACATCCTCGCGACGCGGCCCCACGGGAGCAGCCCCAGGGGCCGGATGAGGGTCGCAGAGGCTCCCATGGCTGGGCAGGGGGTTCTGGCAGGCCCAGCTCTGCATCCTGGGGGTCCCCGGGGGGGGGCTACACCCCTCAGATGGCCACGCAACACGGGCGCTTCTCCTGCGCCGCGGCCGCGCTGCCGGCGCTCCCGCTGCCCAGTGCCACCGTGGTGGCTTGGCCGCTCCTCTGCTTCTGCTGCTGCACCTTGCGGAAGATCTCTGCAAAAGAAGGGGTGCCGGGGGGGGGGGGCAGAGGGGCCGTTGCTCGTTGCTCACCCTCGGACCGGTGCCGCTGCTTCCCCTCTGCGAGCTGAGGGGTTACAAGGAAGCAGCTCCCTCCCAGCCGCATCCTTGCGGCCCCACGGGAACACCCTGAGCTGTGGCAACTTCCTCTTGCCCAACCTGGAGGAGTGCTTCACCCCGGGCTGGGGCATGGCACGGCACAGCCCATGTCCCTGCCCTCCTGCCCCAGTGCACCCAGAGCTGCCCCAGCTCCATCCCCATGCCCCCATCTCCCTGCCCTCCTGCCCCAGTGCACCCAGAGCTGCCCCAGCTCCATCCCCGTGCCCCCATCTCCCTGCCCTCCTGCCCCAGTGCACCCAGAGCTGCCCCAGCTCCATCCCCGTGCCCCCATCTCCCTGCCCTCCTGCCCCAGTGCACCCAGAGCTGCCCCAGCTCCATCCCCGTGCCCCCATCTCCCTGCCCTCCTGCCCCAGTGCACCCAGAGCTGCCCCAGCTCCATCCCCGTGCCCCCATCTCCCTGCCCTCCTGCCCCAGTGCACCCAGAGCTGCCCCAGCTCCATCCCCGTGCCCCCATCTCCCTGCCCTCCTGCCCCAGTGCACCCAGAGCTGCCCCAGCTCCATCCCCGTGCCCCCATCTCCCTGCCCTCCTGCCCCAGTGCACCCAGAGCTGCTCCTGCAGGATCATCGCCCCAGCTCCATCCCTGTGCCCCCCATCTCCCCACGGCCGGTTCCACAACGTGCTGGAGACATTGAGTCAGGAGCCCAGGACAACAGGAAGGGAAACCAGAGATTACAGGGGAAGGAGCTCCAACTCCCCCCCGGAAATGGGGAATGCCCAAGGGGCCGGGAGAACAAAGCCAAGGGAGCTCCAAGTGGAACGCCCAACAGGAGAGCATGGAACCAAACCAGCCAGAAAGACCAGAAACCATCCCCAAAGGGCTGCCGTGGGGCAGGGCAGAGCAGAAGCACCGTACAGAGACCCAGTGAGGGTCCCCCAACGTCCTGCTGGCCCCCAGGACCCCCCTGCAGCACGGTGCTGGTGCATGTACCCGTCAGGATGGTCTCAAACGCCTGCTCGACGTTGGTGGAATCCAGCGCTGAGGTCTCCACAAACAAGAGCCCGTTGTTGTCTGCAATGAGAGGAGCTGATACAGAGCCGGGCCAGGGCACAGCTCTGCCCTGGAGCCCCTTTGGAGATGTCCAGGTGCCCACGTTGGCGCAGGTCCCTGCTGTCAAGGGGGGGTCCCCAAGCCCCCCAGTCCTTAGAGCAAGGTGCCAGCCTGTACCTGCAAACATCCTTGCCTCCTCCATGGGCACCTCCCGAGCCTGGGCCAGGTCAGTCTTGTTCCCCACCAGCATGACGACGATGCTGGGCTCAGCGTGGTCATAGAGCTCCTTCAGCCACCGCTCCACCACATCGTACGTCTGGTGCTTGGTGATGTCAAAGACAACCAGGGCACCCACAGCCCCCCGGTAATACCTGTGGCAGAACCTCAGCATCACCCATCTAACACACACACACACACACCCCCCCCAGCATCTTCATCACCCGGGTACCACGGGCAGCCCTGCTTTTGGGTCTCGCATCCTTACGCGGAGGTGATGGCGCGGTACCGCTCCAGCCCGGCTGTATCCCAGATCTGCGCCTTCACCACGGAGTCTCCCACCAGGATGCTGCGCGTGGAGAACTCCACGCCGATGGTGGTGCGGCTGTCGTGGTTGAACTCGTTGCGGGTGAAGCGGGACAGCAGGTTGGTTTTGCCCACCCCAGACTCCCCGATCAGGACGACTGAGGGAGGAAAGGAGGAATCCTGCTGGAGCTGCTGAGGAGGGGAAAAGGCTGCTCCGAGGAATCCCGCTAACCTGAGCCGGGCCAGCCAGAGGCTTGGTGCCTCGGCAGGGTGGCATCTGCACCGCCACAGGGTGCACGGGCATCCCTCATTGCCTGGGCAGTGATGACATGGAACATATCCTGCTGGGTATGTATAATGTGGGCAGGGATGTGAGGGTGCTGAGGCGCTGGCACAGGGTGCCCAGAGAAGCTGCGGCTGCCCCATCCCTGTGCTCAAGGCCACGTTGGACGCAGGGGTTTGGAGCATCCTGCTCCTGTGCTCCCAATGCTGTTCGAGGTGGGTCACAGCCACCAGGACCTGTTGGCAGCAGCAGGATGAGGGTCACCCCTTCTCCATCCCTCCTTGCCCCAGGGGAGCCCCAAGGTGCAGCTGGTGGCACCCAGGACACCAGGACCTGTGCTTGAGGAGCACAAGCTGAGGGGGGGACACGAGGCTGGGCCCCTGCTTCTCCAGCCCAGGTCTGACCCCCGTGTCCTCCACGTGCCACCACCCGCACCCAAGTGACTTTCAGGCACCCAGGTCAATGGGCTCATGCGGTGCCTCCCCCCCCCATAGGGCCGCAATGTGGGGTCCTCCCCGTGCCCCCACGGACCCTGGAGCCCTCCTCCCCAGCCCTGACCTCACTGGGGACACACCGGAGGCCGGATCCTGCTCGCTGACCTCCAGCCCCTTCACAGCTCCCGGGGCACACGGTATCAGCCGAGCTGCTCAGCACCACAATGCGGGGGGCACCCAATGAAGCCCCCGGTCCCCATCCCTGCTCCATCCCTTCTGCGGCCACCGAGGGGCTCACCCTTGAAGACGAAGTTATAATCCTCCTCGGCGCCGCCCATGGCGCCCCGGCCGCTCCGTTTCCTGCTTCCCAAAGCCGGCGGCTCCCGGAGGCACCGATGGGAGCAGGGAGGAGGGAGCAAAGTTTCCTTTGCGCTGCGGGGCCGGCGGAGCGGAGCGGAGCGGAGCAGCGCGGAGCAGCGCAACGCAACCGCCCTCGCTCGAGGGGTGGGACCGGGTGTCGCAGCGCACGTCGGGCAGGTAATGGCACCCATGGGACACGGCACGGGGCGGCCGGAGGAGGAGCTGGGGCCGGGCTGTGGAACCAGCGTGGGGCAAGCAGGGCAGGACGAGACCCCCCCCCCTCTCCCCGAGCTCCACCGGGTTCCGAGCGCGTTTCCTTGTCTCTGCTGCCATCGTGTGAAAGACGGCGAGAACGCGAAGGGGAAGGGCCCCCGCTGCCCCCCATCGCCCCAGTGCGGCTGGGCAGGGGGGCTCCGCTAGACCCTTGCCACGGGCCCATCGCATCCCTTCTCGCCCCAAAGCCCCCCCCCCACCCCAGCTCCCTTCGTTCGCAAGAAGACACAAAGGCCGCCAGCATCAGAGACACTTTTTATTCCTCCCCACCCACACCTTCCTTTTGCAAAGGCACCCCGAGCTCCGGGGTCGCTGATCAGCACCGGCCTGCACGGGGTGGCACCTCCAAGCGCTGCTCCTGCGCTCAGGATGCGGCCACTTGCGTGAGCGGCTCCTCCAGGTACTGGACCAGCGCCTGAGCCTGTGGGTGGCATGAAGAGGGCCGGGGGGGAAGGAGGGGGTCACAACCCACACCCCCACACCCCATGTGCTTCTGTTAGTTCATATCATTGTATGGGGGTACAGGAAGAGGGGCTTGGGATGCAGGGATGCAGGGACAGGACAAGGGGAATGGCTTTAACCTGCCAGAAGGGAGATAGAGATGGGGTCTTAGGCAGAAGCTCTTCCCTGGGAGGGCGGTGGGACACTGGGATAGGTTGGATGGAGGTTTGGATGTCCCATCCCTGGCAGTGCTCAAGGCCAGGTTGGACACAGGGGCTTGGAGCACCCTGCTGCAGCAGAAAGTGTCCCTGCCCGTGGCCTCAGATGAGCTTTAGGGTCCCTTCAACCCACCCCATTCTGTGATTCCATCCTATGGTGGCTCCTCCACCACTCCCATCCTCACCCTAATCCGCTCTTTCTCACCCCACAGCACGGACACAGCCCTGTGCCCCTCTGGCCCCCTCCCTGCCAGCATTACCTTGGCCTTCAGCATCCCAAATCCAACTGTCTCCTTCGCATACATGCAGAGCAGCAGGTTCGCCACCCGCGTGATGGCCACTCGCCCCTCCTGCCCAGGGAGAAACAGCACCCATCGCACCCAAAGCTTGATCCCGCGGGATCCCAGAGCCACCCCCTCGGTGTGGGGACACGACAGCAGTCCCCAGCCCCACGTACCATGCAGTCCATGAGGATGAATTTGAGGTTGTCCTCATTGAACGCCTGGTGCCCGTTCTTGTCATAGGCCACCCAGATGTTGCTGGCGATGGCCGCAGTGACCCTGGCATCGGTGTCCCCATAGCCTGAGTAGGCGAGCAGGGACCCCTCGTTGTTCAGGAGCCTGTAAATGAGATGTGGGGGGGGTGTGTGGGGGGTGGATTGGTGCCTCTAAACCCAGCGGGGCACCAGACCCCATCACAGCCCCCCCCCTCCCAGGCCCAGCATTGCTGCGGAGCAGGCACGAGCCTGGTGGGCAAGTACCATGCATGGTCCTGGTGCAACCGTGCATCATGTACCATGCATGGTTCTGTCACTGTGCAGCATGCACTGCACATCCTGCATCTCCCCATCACCCTGCATTTTGGTCCCTGCATCTCCCAGCACCCCGCATGTCCCCATCACCCCACACTGTGCTCCCTGCACCTCCCCAGCACCCCACACCTCCCCAACACCCCAAACTGTGCTCCCTGCATCTCCCAGTGCTCTGCAGCTCCCCAGCACCCCACACTGTGCTCCCTGCATCTCCCAACACCCCGCATCTCCCCAACACCCCAAACTGTGCTCCCTGCATCTCCCAGTGCTCTGCAGCTCCCCAGCACCCCACACTGTGCTCCCTGCATCTTCCAGCACCCCACATCTCCCCATCACCCCACACTGTGCACTCCACATCTCCCCATCACCCCAAACTGTGCTCCCTGCACCTCCCCAGCACCCCACATCTCCCCATCACCCCGCACTGCACATCCTGCATCTCCCAGCACCCCGCACTGTGCTCCCTGCATCTCCCAGCACCCCGCACCTCCCCATCACCCCGCACTGCACATCCTGCATCTCCCATCACCCCGCACTGCACATCCTGCATCTCCCAGCACCCCGCACCTCCCCATCACCCCGCACTGTGCTCCCTGCATCTCCCAGCACCCCACATCTCCCCATCACCCCGCACTGCGCTCCCTGCATCTCACAGCACCCCACACCTCCCCATCACCCCGCACTGTGCTCCCTGCATCTCCCAGCACCCCACATCTCCCAGCACCCCGCACTGTGCTCCCTGCATCTCCCAGCACCCCACATCTCCCAGCACCCCGCACTGTGCTCCCTGCATCTCCCAGCACCCCGCACCTCCCCATCGCCCCGCACCGCGCCCCCCCCCCCCCGGGCCCCGCACGGCTCCCCCCGCAGCCCCTCCCGGTCCCGGTCAGCGCCGGTTCCCCGCTCACAGCGTGCTCTGGACGCCGCCGGTGTTGGCCTGGCTCAGCACCTGCGTGAGGGCCTTGGGGCGCAGCATGGCCGCGCCCGCTCCGCTCCGTTCCGTTCCGTTCCGTTCCGCTCCCCGAGAGCAGCGGGGCCGGGGCAGGGCGGAGCCGGGCTCGCCTCGGAGCACGCCGGGACTCGTAGTTCCCGGTGCCCCGGAGCCCGGAGCCTGGGTCCCCAGGGCGGGGGGAACGCGCCCGGACACCCCGGGGGTCACGGTGGAGGGCGGCGGAGCCCCCAGGAGCGGGGTCCAGCCCCGGCCGGGAGTGGGAGCGCTGGGAGAGGCGTCAGGGAAGGGGGGGAGCTGGAAAAGGGGGTGCGGGATGGAGGCAGCTTGGGGGGGTGCAGCCCCCATGGAAGGGGGCAGGCAATGGGGGTCAACAGGGATCCAGTAATGGGGGTGCAGGATGGATCCAGTCATGGGGGTGCAGGATGGATCCAGTCATGGGGGTGCAGGATGGATCCAGTCATGGGGGGTCAACAGGGATCCGGTGATGGGGGTTCAACAAGGATCTGGTAATGGGGGTGCAGGATGGACCCAGTCATGGGGAGTCAACAGGGATCCGGTGATGGGGGTTCAACAAGGATCTGGTAATGGGGGTGCGGGATGGATCCAGCTCATGGAGGTGCAGGAGGGATCCGTAATGGGGGTGCAGGAGGGATCCAGTCATGGGGGGTCAACAGGGATCCGGTGATGGGGGTTCAACAAGGATCTGGTAATGGGGGTGCAGGATGGACCCAGTCATGGGGAGTCAACAGGGATCCGGTGATGGGGGTTCAACAAGGATCTGGTAATGGGGGTGCAGGATGGACCCAGTCATGGGGAGTCAACAGGGATCCGGTGATGGGGGTTCAACAAGGATCTGGTAATGGGGGTGCGGGGTGGATCCAGCTCATGGAGGTGCAGGATGGATCCGTAATGGGGGTGCAGGAGGGATCCGGTAACGGGGGTTCAGGATGGATCCGGTAATGGGGGTTCAGGATGGATCCGGTAATGGGGGTGCAGGAGGGATCCGTAATGGGGGTGCAGGAGGGATCCAGTAATGGGGTTGCAGGAGGGATCCGTAATGGGGGTGCAGGATGGATCCGTAATGGAGGTTCAGGATGGATCCGGTCATGGGAGTGCAGGAGGGATCCGTAATGGGGGTGCAGGAGGGATCCGGTAATGGGGGTGCAGGAGGGATCCGTAATGGGGGTGCAGGAGGGATCCGTAATGGGGGTTCAGGGTGGATCCAGCTCATGGGGGGTTCAGGATGGATCCGGTCATGGGGGTTCAGGATGGATCCGGTAATGGGGGTGCAGGAGGGATCCGTAATGGGGGTGCAGGAGGGATCCGGTCATGGGGGTGCAGGAGGGATCCGGATCACGACCTCCCTCCGCCCCGTTCCTGCCGTTGCAGCCGCCGCCGCACTGCAGGTTCCCGCCGCTCCGCCAGGGGGCAGTGTTGCCATCGCGGCAGAGGAGGGGGGGGCGGACGGACGGACCGTGGCGCCGCTCTCTCTCCACGTCTCTGTGTCGGCGGCCCGGTCTGGCGGGGCGGGCGGCGAAGATGGCGGAGCCGAGCGGCGGCGGCGGCGGCGGAGGAGGAGGGCCCGGCCCCGGTGGGGAGAGCGAGGCGGGCCCCGGTGGGGCTCTCATCCGCGTCACCGTGAAGACCCCTAAGGACAAGGAGGAGATCGTCATCGCGGACGGCGCCTCCGTGCGCGAGGTGGGGGCCTGGGCCGGGCCGGGGCTGCGGGGTTGGGTTGGGGGGGGGGGGTCGGGAGCGGGACATGGGGACGGGGAGGGGGGGGTGAAGGAGCCGGCGGGGATGGGAAGTGGGGGGGACGTGGGTTTAGGGCGGAGGGGGGAGCCGGGGGGGTGTGGGGCACCCCCGGCCTTCGGGGCCTTGTGCGAGGCCGGCTTGGAGGGGCGGGGAGGGGTGGGTGAGGGATGGGGTCTGGGGGGGAGCAGGCCTTGGGTGTGGGGGGGGCGGTGGGTGGTGGCTGTGGGGCAGGGTTGGGGAGGGGGTGAGGTCTGGGGGGGTCTGCAGAGGGAGGGGAGGGTTGGGAGGGAAGGGGGCTGGGGGGGGAGCGGAAGGGGGCTGTGGGGCAGAGCTGGGTGAGGCCGTGTGGGGCTGCGTGGGGTGGGGGGGGCAGAGGAGAGGAGCTCGGCAAGGCTTTGGCTGAAGGGAGCAGAGGGAAGGGAGCAGCCGCCCCTGTGTGGGCTTGGGGGTGAGCTTCATAGGGGTGAGCTTCATAGGGGGTGAGCTTCATGGGGGTGAGCTTCATAGGGGTGAGCTTCATAGGGGGTGAGCTTCATAGGGGGAGCTTCATAGGGGTGAGCTTCATAGGGGGTGAGCTTCATAGGGGTGAGCTTCATAGGGGGTGAGCTTCATAGGGGCTGAGTTTCATAGGGGCTGAGCTTCATA